AATTCTCTGGATTCAGAAGTTATTTTGGGTTGATTTGATTGTTTGATTTGATTTATTTTCATACATCATAATTATGTAGAAAAGGGCTGTATACCATCATGATAATGAAAACGAACGGTTGTGTTTTCGAATCAGGCTAAATTTCATTATTGGCTAAATGTATGAAAGTTCAAGCAATTGATTATGACTGCATCCTTGGGACAGGTACTTTAGGTTTGCAACGAGTAGCTACCGCATTTAGAATTTATTACATCATGTGTAAAAAAAAATCCATTAAGAAGAAATCAGCAAATTAACTGAGGTGTGTAGGCCTATGCTGAAATCCTGTGTATTGTCCGTCACGTTGAGATCATGCGAATAAATAGATGAACATCATGGTAATAAAAAAAAGTAGCAAGTTTTTAGTTTATAAAACAACACACGGTTGTAATTTCCTAAAAATGTGGCCAAAATGAAGCTGCTGTTGATGTGACTCAGTAAAATGAATCGTTGCTCTTCAATAATGTGGACTACGTCATTTCTGATCATACATGAAGCAGACACTAATCTCTGAAATTGTATTATCAATTTATTAATATGAACTGCATTTTGCATTGTATGGAGAAATCATGTTTCTTCCATCATGAATGATTTGTAACATGAAACATATCGAACAGCTGACAAAAATCAGAATTGTAGATTTAGATAGACTTCTATGGAAAACAACAGTTATTAAAGTAATGGATATGGCTTTTGTAATGCTTTTTATCTACGTAACCAAGGTTTTTTTTTTAGGGAGTGTGTCAAATTTGTTGATTCACATATTAAAAGTTAGTATAGGGCGGATCCAGAACACAATTTGGGGGGGGGGCAAAAGAAATGGTGGTCCCCAAAAAGTGTGTCAATTGGATTCTAGATGCTCTATGGTGCGATCTGAGGCAATTTCTGACCACTTTAATTTATGTTTTCTTGGAGGAAGATGGTGGTGTAGTCATTGCCTGCCTTTATCACACAAACAAAATTTGATTCGTTTTTTTGCCCCCCCCCCCCCGATCCGCCCTTGGTTAGTCTTATAACTTCAAATTACAGTACAGGCAAGAATTTCGTCACAAGTACAGGTTTAGTCAAAAAGAAAATGACCGAATTAGAAAAATAGTTTAAAAACATATGTGTCTCGCTCCATTTCATAAAATAACATGAGATTAACGTACATGTTAATGACTACTGAAAATGTCGCGTCTTTTTGTATACTCTATTGCCATGTTATGCCGGTTTAAATTTAAAAAAAAAAGGTCACAAAATTCAGCTGCCACCACTGATCACTAACCCGTATGAACTTGTGGAAAATACAATAAAACATGGATATTTTCCCACCTCCATGAATGAACGAAGAATTGTAAAGGAAAACAGACAAAAATCAACATCACTATTTCATGGGGAAAAAAGTTGACTTGTTACTCGTATTCAAAACACAAAATCTGACAGTAAAAATAATGTTTCAGTCTTTACTCAACTAATTAAAATATCATTTGTATTTGAATCCATGTGTGTAATCTATAATTCTCACTCGGCTCAGTAGCTTCCAATGGCTTGGACCGCTATGAAAATAGGTTCTTTAAGTAAAACATGTATTATAACTTCTGATAGCATGGATCAATTTCAAAATAATGAAAGGTTTGCGGAAACACCATGTGCGAATAATTTCTCAACTAAGAGAATGGTTCTGAAAAGAACCAGAGGTATAAAATCGACGTTCCGGTCAGTATGCTCTGACCGTCTTCAGGAGAGGTCAGAGCATACTGACGGGAACGGTCAGAGCATACTGACCGGAACGTCGAGTTTATACCTCCGCAAACCTTTCATTATTTAGTATCTCCACCATGCAAAGCCTCAAATCTTACGGATCAATTTCAGTAACTCTTTTCTCCCATGTGAGTGGAAGACCGTATGCTCTTTAAGACATACATTGTACTTCATTCGTGCATCATATTCTTTGTTTAGTTTTTCAGAAGAAAAAAATTATTAAACCAGGTTACTTTCCTTATGACTCGGCCTGTATAGTATCGAGAATATAGGTAGAATATTTCTATATCGTATCGCAAGCGGTTCAGCAGAGATCGAAGCACATAATCAGGTGTATTGTACTCCGTCATAATGATGCAAATAGCAAATCTACATTTTGTAAATTTTATTTTGTATGTTACGGTGTAGAATAGCTGCTTGGACATTTCCAGATGTGGTTTTTAGTACGCTTTTATTACATTGAACTTCAAATATAGAACATTGAAAAATCTGGTTGTCTATGCACCTATAGTTGTGTTTTCTGCATTATAATGATACCAAGAAGAGGTTTAGATTCCTTAGTAATTATTATTTGCATGTTGCATGCTATTGTGTGTCTGTATGGCGCTTAGACACAAATGTGTTTCTATAGTCTATAATGTTTAATTTCAATAGCACATATAATCTATCGGTTTGAAAAAAATCTGGCTGTTCACCTATATAGCTATGCTTACTACACGATACAAGAGGACGTCTACATGTCTGAACAATATTGTTTTCTATATTGCAACGGCTGCTTGTACATTTGCATACGTGGATTTTTACGCTTTTTAATGTTTAATTTCAAATGATGCATTTTCTTCTAGCGGTTTGAAAAGTCTGGTTGTCCAGCTATAGCTTTGTTATTGCATTTTAAATTATACGCTTTCAATTGTTTAACTTCAAACGGTATTTTTTTTAAGGCTTAACTAGTACCATATTGTTTAAGCTTTTACCTTTTAATTGATGGATTGATGGTAGATGGGTAGCATTTGTCGTTTATAGGGAGTTTATTTTCGATTGCTCTGGATCAGGGGCGGCGGAACGCCCCCCCCCCATTTTCCCAGGCCAACAAAAGTGCCCCTCTCGCAGTCATAAAATGTGCCCCCTCGAGATGAAAACAAAAGTGCCCCTCAAACGCACACATGAAAGTATTATGATCACGCTTGCAAATTGTCTCCTCTGTACATGTAATGCAAAAATGCCCCTCAAAAACACAAATATCCCTCGCGCATTAACAAGATTGTGAACCTTCTTGGGATGGAAAACTATCCCTTCCAAGTACAATTAAACATACCTATCGCTATAATAAAATTGGGCTCCTCTTGATATGCGAAATTGACCATCAAAGACAAAAGTGCTCCTCTCGTGACAACTTATCGAAATGTACAAACAAATAATATTGCTCCTCACGCGAATGAAATGGTTACTGAACTGGCCTTCAAAAGTAACAGTGCCCCTCTCACGATAAAAAAAAATGGTCCCTTTGCATATGGCCTAATTAACTCGTCAAATTCAAGGGCGGAGCCAGAGAGGTTACTGCCGGAGGGTGCCGGAGGCCAAAGGGCTCTCCTAAATGAAAATTACCTTATTTGAGAAGAGTACGGCTATATCGAGACTATTTCAGGAACAGGCCTACACTGTAATTTTTGAGTAAGGAAATTAAGAGTTTTAAAATTTGTGACCCATTTATTTTTAAAGTCTATATCAATGTGGGTATAACATGTGGGTGCTTCTTGAAATATGAACGAAAATAGTTTCACAATTTTCTCCTCTTTCAAACCGACGGAACTTATGTGCCTTTTTTCTGAACAAGTTCCCCTTTTTAATTTTGTTGGTTTCCCCACTTTGAAAAGCGTTCCGCCGCCCCTGCTTTGGATGACATGTAATTGGTCCTGAGGTCGTTTTTACTTAACGTTTAATCATGCAAACATATTAATCTCTAGAGACCTGATCAAAATATGCATTGGATTTTTGTGTTTTAAACAAAGTGGAGTTTAGAAAGAAATAAATCATGCAGCTTGCATAGCGCTAAATATGGAAAGAGTCGGCGTCTGTGGGAGTGTGTGTGTCCTTTGCTCTATTGTTTGTCAGGGAGTAACTTGAGAACTTCAGGTCAGAACTCCTCCAAAAATAAAATCTCATAAAGATTGAGATAAACTAAGTTCGCCAGGGATTGCATTTTTAGAAGATGCGGGGGGAGCCCCCCCCCCCTTGGGTGCCCCACTGCGCAGAGAGAGAGAGAGAGCGCCCTCTATGATATTGTACGATCTCGTTTGGCGAAACAATATTCGCAGCCTGAGTTATTGCCTGGCAGCTAGTACTTCGAAATTGTAAAGTAAAAGTTCGATGTCATTCAAAAATGTTGTAGCAAAAAAAGAAGAATGAAGTTTAGAAAAGGAATATATTTTTTGGAATGAAACTTGAAAATAGTACGGGGAAAGCAACTTCAACCCCAAAATGGAAGGCTTTTTCAGCAGTTAACTCCTTTTCGTCCTTGGCAATGACGACTTCATTACTCATATCATTGTTAAAATGCATTCCACACAGAAGTTTTCCCTTTTAAAAAAAATCTTTCTGAAAAATATCAAACATTCTAATAAGTATTTAGCCTAATCAGTCAATGCCTTCAAAAGTATTCACGGACATTTTGTATATCACTTCCGTTATTTTTATTGCTCCAAGCCGCCGCCAGAGGCCGAGGACTCTATCGACAGCACGTTGTTTTACATTGGAGAACACCGACCCAGTTCTTTTGTTACATGTGGTGCGCGCCCCGGAAGTTCCTAAAAATAGACTCCAGGGTTAAGTTGTTACTTTGTAGCAAGTTTTGTCTGTTTAAGTTTACTATGGGCGTCAGCACTGAGTTGGCGTGCCTTTGTGAGTTTAACGGTTGGGAATTATTTTCTGCTGGTTTCTTTTTTCTTTGAATTTTTCTGAATTTAGAAAAAAATATTTCCTGCGTTTGGCGAGATTTGGAGGACAACAACTCAATGTGAGCTCACACCACAATAACCTGCCATAAAATAACTGAACTGGACCTTAATGTAGCCTACTAAATATCAGTCTCAGGTGGACAGAACTGTAGTGGTGTTATCAGTATATCCGTCCCAATTTAATCCAAAAAGCGCCCTCCATAGCTATTTGAGCGCGCAAGCTCGATGAGGTCATTCGAGCCTGTCCTTGACCCATACCTTCCTGCATGCACACGGTACATCATGTTTTGATTTCGTGGGCCACAAGAGATCAGCTTGTTTCCTCCGTGGGTTTGCAACCCCGAATCGTGCAAAACTTGTGTTCTATTTCATTCGAGAGTCCGTCGAAGGTGATATAAGCGCCAATATCGGTATTGTGCGGCCAGTTCGGAGGTGAGTAGTATGAACATGAACGTGATATTGATAAAGCTGATAACAACGCGGAAGTAGGCGTACTCCTAATGTGAAAACCGCACGTTATTGTGCCATAGTAATTGGCCTTCATACATTGTTTGTAATTTGTAGGCCTACGTGTAGTACCTGTATATTTATTACGCGATGGAGCTGATAACGTAATGTAGGCTACAGTGCTTCGCTTGCTTCCATCTTCCACATTTTAAGGAAACAAATTTATTTCGAAAGAATTTCAATGGAAATTTAAAAAATAAGGACATTTTGAGAAAATCCCCCAAATTTAAAGACATTCTACGGAAACTATTAAATTCTGAGCAAATTCTACAATATTCTCCAAAATTAGTACCAAATTCTACAACATTCTCAATTAATATCCTGCAGTTCTTGCATGCATCATTTCGGAGTAAAAGAGACCGGATATTTTGAGCACTGTTATGTACTGACCTCTGTTTACCTCTAGCAATAGCATAAGCCAAGGAAAGCAGCTTATATTTATTAGGCTTTTGGGGGCTTAACAAAAAAGAAGGAAATCGGGGGGAAAAGAAGGAAATTTGGGTCTTATAGGGAAATTGTTCGTTTTGATTGTGGAAGCACTGGCCTTCATGAAGGTCCTGCCCATGCCCCTTGCCCTGCATGTAATAAGTTGCGTTCGTTTATGGTGTAAATCGAGGACACACATGTGCAACATCGTCCGACAGCAACCAAATCGAGGACTCCTCAGTTAGAAACAGGGTTAGCGATTTTTTTTATATTTTTTTTTTTTTTTTTAAAATCGGATTTATTTGATTTAAATCAGATTTTTTTGATTTAAATCAGATTTTTTTTTTTTTAACTTTCAAAATATTGATATGTCTAAACAAGTGTCTAAATCTCCCCATGCACCCTCACACCCATCACAAAGGAGTTTACAGGTTCCTATAATACCCATCATCCACAAAACTCAATAAATTGATAAACGCTTTTGAAAAAAATTGTTTTGAATCAGTGATTTAAGAAAATCACTTAATTTCTTCTACATGTAGTCTACATCATTGGTTCAATGGTACATTAATACTGAAGACACTTTAAAGGTGCATTGCTTGATTGATACAGCTGAGATACGTTGTGTGTGGATATGAATAAAACTTGAATTATGGCACCTGTATATGGTATACAAAAAAAATACGACAGTTCTCCATGGGCATGTTGATTTCATAAAAAATGCTTCTAATTTCAAAACCGGAGGCAGTGATCCTTGTGTAACTGGTGGAGGACAGAAATCAGACCTCGCACCTTTAAAAAGTTTTATATAAATCTCAATCTAAATTTGTAGGGAGAAACGTTAGGAATAAGACTATCAATACGGGCGATTCCCAATAGTGCGCCTCCAAGAGTTTGCAACGCGTTGGCCAATCACAATGCGCAAAATCTGTCGACCCAACGCCCGTTTGGAAAAGGTCGACTGATTTCGCGCATTGTGATTGGCCAACGCGCTGCAAACTCTTGGAGGCGCACTATTTGGAATCGCCCGTATTGGGACTTTTTATACACCTTTTGATGGTTCATTTAAGCCTACACCGGCACAGTTGATTCACAATATTAGTGTAAACAGATCAAGGAACGATTAAGGCAAACGTGAGTGTGCTCTCTTTAAATTAAAAACCTTGAAGAAAAACTTTTAAACTCAGATCTGGACTTAATCAAAACAACAATTTTGTGTAATTATGCAAAACCTTAATTGAGTCGATGGTGATGAAGTAGGGGTATTTGAATGTGTTAACAACATATTACACTTTGTAATTAAGTGGAATCAGTTGATTTAAATGTTGAAATTACCCTCAATCAATTGATTTTGCCAAAAATAAGATTTTTACAAAAACGTGATTTAAATCAGTGATTTTTATAAAGAAAATCATTTGATTTAAATCGCGATTTCAATCAGTGATTTAAATCAGCCAACCCTGGTTAGAAAACGTGTATGAGAGCTGAGTATAAATAAAGAAAAAGGGGAAGAGGTACAATAGAAAATCCTCGATTTGCACCATAAACAAACGTGGGTGCACATGATTGTGCATGCCTACTCACCTTGTTCGTATACACGAAAATAAAACACATTATTTCTCCATGGTAAATATATACGGCATGAGGCTACTACTTATGCTTTGTCGTGCGTGCACATTCAACAGCGACTCTCAGACTAGTGATAGATCAAGAAACGGCCACTGCAAAAACTGTAGTGTAAATTTAACACCATTCGGTATCTATATAGGACAACACCAGTAAAATTTAACACCAGATGGTCCTATATAGATACCAATGGTGTAAATTTAACACTCCAGTGTTTGCAGTGCATGGTTGTATGATAACACCACAGGAATTTCTCCTGATCAAAATGCAATAGGCCGACATTCATTATAAAATAAGCTGCATAATATAATCATATGGAGGTAGATATAATATTTCCAGAGAGTCCACCCAGTAACTCGGGCGCCAAAATGCCTTTTCTTCGAATTTTATCCGGTCAGTTGTGCTAACTGCCCACCAAAGACAAATTGGAAAAGGGGACTTCTCTAGCGCCCCAGTACGTTATACTGGGTCAAAATGAGAAAGCAAAGTACTTAATGGATGAATTCATAAATCATAATAATAGCCGGTAGAAATAATGCATACTGCTAAAAGTGCCAAAATATTGAGACTGCATACAAACCCAACACAACAAAATAAGGTTCAATAGGAACAATCGACCTTTTTTCTCAGGGCACTGGCCAACTAAAATATATAACCCAATAATAACCCACAAAAACCAAACAGTCACCAAAAGAAAGTGGCGAAATGAAAAAAAAAAAACAGGTTAAAACGGTTTGGGGTTAGATGGGGTTAAAAAAAGAAGAAGATTGTTTGAAAAACCTACATTGTATGGGCCCTTAATTGGCCATTACCCTGCCAAATGCAACAGGATGCACCAATAGTAAGACGTTGTTGCAAGTTGTTGCATTTAGCAGTGTCCGGATCTGCATGCATTCCATGCCTGCATTCCGTTGCATTTGGCAGGGTAGGTACTTGGTACCAAGGCTGGCACTGCATCCTGTTGCATTTGGCAGGGTGCCTAGTGAATACCCCGTGGGGGTTGATTTTGCACAATAAAGCATTGTTATGCCCCAACTATGGCATCGTCCCATAGAGTTTTCGTTCCAATTATAGTTGGGAATTCCCCTAACTATTGTTCGGACTGTCCCAGCTATGATTGGGAACATTGCCGTACTTTCATCGTCATACTGTTTCATATAATATATTATGTCAGGGTGCAGACCGATAAATCGACTCCCGTTATATAAAAAACTTATTTACAAATACGCACAACTGTGTAAGGTGTTTGAGACGCCCATAACATCCATCTACATTTACATCTGGATTCTCTAGCAAAACGGTTGATTTGCATCCCACTAGAGTTGGTGTGTCGCGGAGCTATAAACAAAAATAAATTCTATAAATAATTTTTTTTTTTTCAATTTTCAAAGTTTCATAATCCCCATCATGAAGAGTGTGGTCAGCAACGGCGGTCTTGAAGTGGTCTGTTTTGGTATTGTTGATGATCGATTCAGGTAGAGCATTCCAGAGAGGTACGGTTGATGGGAAGAAGCTGGTGCTGTACATTTTTGCATGAAGACGATGGTATGAATACTGCTGTGATCTGCGATAGATTCTTCTCTGTAGGGTCAAGTTGTGGTGGATGTCAACAAGTCCACGGGTGATTTTATATAACATTATTGATTTGGATGTACTTCTTCTATGGGCCTTATTCACGAGTCGGCTATATTGAATTGAAAGTGAGGTAAATTCTTAATTGTTGGCACTTGCGCAGAGAAATTAAATTACTAGATAATTCCAGTCTGCTTCAATGAATAATTTAAGTTTGTAATTAAACATTCCCAAAATGTTTAAAGCAGATGAAAAAAAGACAGTAAAATAAGGCCGCATTATGAGTGCATAAACAGTCTGGCGCCATCCCATTAAACAGTTAACACTTAAGGAAATATGTTCAGGGAACTCGACGAAAATGGCCAACTCGTGAATAAGCTTAAGGCCCATTCGTTCAGTGGCCAACCTACAGTTCCTGTTACATTGCGGTGACGCTTGAATCTCTGGTATACATGTAGTTGTTGCAGCACATTCTTGCAGCAAATCTCTGGATACCCTTTAGCTTTTGCTTTTCTTCTTCTGTAAACGGGGCCCAGCCGCAAACACCATATTCAAGCTTAGGGCAAACCAAAGACTGGTACAGGCGAGATGTTAGTTCTTTGCTGCATGATTTGAGCTCCACCGGATGATACCCGTTGTCTGCTTGGCACTATACATGTACAATGTAGTTGTGATTTTGCTTATGTGAGACGACCAGCTGCAATCACTGCTGAAGATGAGTCCTATGTCAAAAGGTTGGATCTTGTTTGGAGTGACTCTCCATTGATATACTTACATGTATAGATCTGGGTGTTTTTGTTGGTTGTCATGTGCATGATGAAGCATAATTTATCTGCATCGAATTTCATTTCCCACTTAATAAACTTTCCCATCTCCAGAGAGCATTGAGGTCACTTTGAAGCGAGGCAGCACCGAATGGTGAATTTGTTTCCCGATACAGTAAGTCATCGTCTGCAAAGAATCTGGTTTTTGAAGACACGTAAAATGGAATATCGTTCACATAATAGGAGGAACAAAAGTGGTCCCGGAACCGTGCCTTGGCGTATATACGCCACGTTAGAAAGTTTGAAATCCAATTGTAAATGTTGCCAATAATCCCGAAGTGCTTTAGTTAAAGAAGAAGCCTTTGATGAGATACACTGCAAAAACTGTAGTGTTAATTTAACACCATTCGGTATCTATGTAGGACAACACCAGTAAAATTTAACACCAGATGGTCGTATATAGATACCAATGGTGTAAATTTAACACTGCAGTTTTTACAGTGTACGTGATAGAACGCTTTTGGGAAGTCAATTAATACAGCGTCGATCTGTTTACCTTTTGTCCGCTGATTTTGCAATGCCATCCTCTGTGATGAGCGATTGGGTGTCACAGCCTCTATTGTTTCCTAAAACCGTGTTAGCAGTCGGTATAATTATGTGGTGATGTTCAAGGTAAAACAGGGTACGTGTTCCAAAACTTTGCACAGAACGGACGTTAGTGCAATGGGGCGATAATTACTTGGGTCGCTCTTTATGCTCATGCCCTTCTTATAAACAAACACCGCAGTAACATTGGCAGTAATCCAATCAGGAGTTGGCCCCGAGATGAAAGATTGAAGAGAGCTGTCAGTAATGGTGCCAGTTCACAACCGCATTCAATGAGATTTCTGTTAGGTATATTATCTGGACCTGCTGCCTTTGATGGACTTAATTCATGCAGATGTTTCTGGATACCTTCAGATGTTGTATCAAGTGTTATGGCTCAATATCTGGGAAGATCTTCTGAAGATTGGCAAGCGTTGTGGTGTCCTGCGTGAAGACCGACTTTAAAAAAATATGAATATAAGATGTTAAAGCTAGAAATTAAAGCTTGCTTCATCATCTTTCATAAGCCGTTCACTTTTCGGGGGAAAAGCTTATGGGAGAATTTTCCATACAAAGATGATCACCCCTAAAAGTATAGCCATGTGGCCCATCGCCATTTTGAAATTGTGATGCCTGCGCTCCATTACAAAATAGAGCAAGTTCTTTAGGGCTCAATTTCATTCGAATTTCACAGAAGTACAAGTTCGCGTTCCGTCTTACATCCTTTTTGCAAACCTTTAAGTTCGTGGCCCAATAAAAACACTTGAGGGCGTAGACAAATCGCGAAGTTTGGCCCGCGTACTAATATTATGGTTGCAGACCAGTAAATAAACTGCCATAGACCCCAGTGATAAATACCTTCTCTTAAAAAATCAGGAAAAATACTCACAACTTTCCAGAGTATTCGAGACCAGTGATGTAGTGCCTTGATGCTGGGCCTTGGCCTTAAGGCTGCCTTAAGGCTGGATTTTAGGGCCTTGGCCTTGGCCTCGAGGCTTGAGGGCAAAAGCCTTGGCCTTGGCCTTGGCCTTGAGGGTTCAGGGCCTTGCAATTTTGAGTCAAGGCTCTTCAAGGCCCATAGATTTTTGCATTTTCCAGATAAATCTGTTCGAAATTTTGCTGTTACCATTTTAATCGTATAACCATGGAGGGGGGAAGCACCCTATAGATTTGTGTGTTGGGCACACTTCCACTTTTGTAGCATCACATTTTGTTACCATTGTAGTAGATTTGCTGCAAAAATATTCCGTACACTTGTGGGGCTAATGAGATGATCACTTTAATTGCATATAACTATGGAATATATCTGATTGGTTGTATATGTCTCCCTGATAAGTGTTAAAGATTTGCATGTATCTGTTTTAGATAATGCTGATATTTCTGACCATGTTGGGCCAGCAAATAAAAATTTCCCAAATCAGTTTCTTGGATCCCCCTTTTGTTACACTTGGGAGAATTGTGTGTCAATATAGAAGTAAATCATTATTTTGTTTAGTTAAACCATATTGAAGACCTGAACTTGTACTTTAATAGATACAGTGCAGTCATAAAACGGTGTAGGCCTATGCGAGCATGTTGATTGCAATTAAAGAAATGTTGTTCTTCGTAACGAGCAATTCGTGATGATAAGGGCGGATCCAGGGGGGCCAAAAGGGGCCATGCCCCCCCCCCCCCCAAAAAAAAAAACGAAACCATTTTTTGTGTGTGACGTCGTAATAAAGGCAGGCAATGAGTACACCACCATCTTTTCCTCAAAAAACATCGGTTAAAATGGTCAGAAATTGCCTTAAATCGCACCACAGAGCATCTCGAATCCAACATTTTTTCGGGGCCCTTAAGCGGGCCCCGAAGCCCAAGCCGTAATTTTTTGACCCACTTTTGTTTGGGTGGCAAAATTTCTTTGTCCCCCCCCCCCAAATTGTGTTCTGGATCCGCCCTTGCGTGATGATGTGTCACTCATGTGACTATAATTAGTTCTATATCAGTGGTCATTTCATAAAACAGGGCCTTGGCCTTGGCCTTGGCCTTGAGGGTTAAGCCTTGGCCTTGGCCTCGAGGCTTGAGGGTCAAAGCCTTGGCCTTGGCCTTGGCCTTGAGGGTCAAAGCCTTGGCCTTGGCCTTGGCCTTGAGGGTCAAAGCCTTTGCTCCAACACTGTTCGAGACACACATCAAATTAAAGCTAATTTCATCATCTTTCATTTTCTTTTCAATTTTTTTTGGGGGGTTAACTCATGACTTTTAGGAGAAATTTCCATCCGACGATAATCACCCCTTAAAATGATCTGAAGCCCATCGCCATTTTGAAAAAACGACGCCTACACTCCATTCTAAAATAGAGCGCTTTTAGGGCTCCAATTTCATCCAAATTGCACAGAACTTCAAGCTCACAGTCCTGTGCACAGCTTCCACCCATATTGTTTTTACAAACCCTTAAGTTCATGGCCCACAATATGCTCAAATGACGAAGAATGTGAGGGCATGCAAATTATGATTTAGCTGGCGTAGGCGATTTTGGACCGATTTACTGGCCTGCAACCTTATGGGCTTGTAGTTACTGGTCTGCACCTGTCAACGATTGAAGGAAGAGCGTTAGGCCAACAGGCAATTGCGTTCCCATTCAGCCACCACAACTACAGTTGTATACAGCTAGTGTTAACCACAACGACGTAAACGACAATGGGTGCGTTCCTTTGATTCAACCGGGTTGACACGGGTCGCCAAACTTTCGCAATAACAACAGCTGTACTGCAAAGCCTGTGCTCGTGGAGCAGAGTCAGTGGTGGAAATACGGCACACGCATGTGTTTGTTCATTCCCTAGAAACGGACAAATAATGGCGGCCGGACGGCGGAAATCTCAAGTGGGCTTAGAAATAAATTTTATTTGAAGTCTAAAGATAATCATTTATTGAGTTCATTGCGACTTGTGAAGCTATGATTTCATCCTAACTTTGACTGAAAAGCGCTTAATTTCAAACTAAAGCCCAGTCCGAAATGGGCGTTTTATCACTGGCTACGGCCATTGCTACGTTGTCGTTGCTTGGGGCGTAACGTGATGATGATGGCCCGCGGTTTAGCGTTCGATTAGCCCAGCTGTCGTTGCTAACCCGTCTGCCTTTACCCGAGTCGATCCGGATGAGCTACTCAAACGCACCCATTGCTCAACCCTCCCATGCAAGCACATATTCTGTACCTATTTTTTTCTTTCAGTCAAAATCAATCGAGTAACCGTTTTCAACAGTTAAGAGTTCCCAGCCTACATAAAGCAGGATAATTGCTTGACGTGATCTGACTGTATAAGAGACATGGTAGGGGAAGTGAATTGATATTTTGATGGTCCGTGACTGTTTCAATAGCAGGAAGGTGACCCCTGATCAGTTACGACAATCCGAACCAGGAGACAATTCAAGTTCATTCAGAATTTTTATTTAGGCTCTCGAGATATATCTTCTGTAGGACGCAGATTATTCAGTGTATACGTATATAGATTTCCCAAACAAACCTGTACAAAAGAAGAGGTTTCAATAATTAAAGATGCATCTCAACATTAATTTTCTCTTCTTGTTTCAGGTAACAGCCAGCCAGTTATAAGTTCTGTCATCGATGCGCCAAGTAGCTCTGTGTCAACACAAGACATCTCCATGGGTTTCCTTTAGTTGGATGCACGGAAAGTTACCTTCTATCTGATGTCTTTCGGAGGCGCGTGCACGTTTTTCAAAATAGGCAACACGTTCACTTATGACAATATTCCAAGTATTCATTGACAGATCACTGCTATTGTTCAAATGTTGAGATTTTACGGACATTTCCATGTACGCTCGTAGCGTGCTTTTTGCCAATGTCGTTTGCATGCCTCCCCCAAAAAATGTCACATCGTCCATAGACTGTGTGGGGTACGCCAGTAAGTCTATAACACAACTCGGTGTTTCTCTAATGTAGAGAACATGACACTAAAACTGGTGTCAAAAGTTGTCTAAAATGGCCATGTGTGGGTCAGCCAAGAGAACCCACAGACTTCAGTTTCGAACCGTACTGTGGCTCATAGTGCTCTTGTACATCTGTACCTTCTGCGTCATTCTTCCGCTCTCTTGCTGGAACCGACCATTCTCCCGCTTCTATTTGAAGTCTAGCCGCACCGTTGAGGGAGCCATATTTAATGACGTCACCCAAGGTCAAAGGGCAGATGACTATTTCGAGCGTCTCGATTCAGAGTCGTCGCTAGTGTTTCACACCAAACCTCTGGTGCAGAGGCAGCAGAACCCGCCCAAGTACGCCATCGGGGTCATCACTGTCAAGCGAAAATCGTCACAATATAAGAAGTACGACCCGAGATATCTGACCCGAGTCGTTGCCGAGTTCGACAGATTACTAAAGGCAGTTGAGCGGAGAGACGTTGTGTTACTCGTGTGCAACGCGGAGAGCGTGCCAGGCCACCACAAGGAGGCAGAGCGTCTCGCGAAATACGTGCACGTCGTGAGCAAGAGAGGACACGACCCACACCCGTCTGATGACGCCCGCGAGCAGGAAAAACGCGACTACGTCTTCTGCATGAGTCAGATGGAGACCTTCAACGCAGAGTACACCATACTAGTTCAGGACGATGCCTTGCCCTACCCACAATTCTTAGCGTCCCTGGATCGGCTCCTGGACACCCGCGTCGAAAATAAGATGATACATGGTAGGTTGGTGCCGAACCCGGAAACTTGGGCGGCGGTGAAATTTTACTTCCCTGAAAAGTGGCAGGGGTACGGAAACGAAGCCTTCCTCATCACTGAATTATTATCGGCCGCCATTTTTGGAGGCGGAATTTTACACGGACTTTTAAGACTCCTCGTTGGCTCGGATCTCAACTGGATTCAAACTTTCTGTATTTTTACCCTCTTGTGCATTTTCTGTGGTGCTTTAATGTTCGTTATTGGACGGCCGTACTTATTGATGCTACGTCGGCTTTCGGTCGATTTGTACTCCACGCGCGGCGCTCCCGAGTGTTGTATACCCGCTGTCCTGTACAGGACTCAATCGCTACCTCGCATCCGGGAACATCTCGGGGGCATCACATGCAGTAACAAGCGCCCCCTCGATATTGAAATCAGTCGGTTTTTACGCAGTGTCGGGGTGAGGCAGTATCTTGTCATGCCGAATTTGTTCAACCACATTGGCATGGTTTCATCTTTACACAATGATGTTAACAGTCCGCACTCATTTCTGGGTTGAATGCATGGCCTTGGAAAATCATGTGATGTCGTCTGCTGGATCCCTAAATAATGCCACACCCAAAACATCATTATCCTTTTTTTAGAAAGTGGATGCAGTAGAAGGATAACAAATGCTTAAGGGTGACAAGGTGGCACCCGTCGGAATATTGATCTGAAAGGTCCAAATGACAAGAAAATGCAAAAGGGCAATTCCACGGTTACTCACGTTACATTTTTTGATGTACTTTTGAGTTTCCTTGGGCTGTAATTAAAAAGGTTTAATAACTGTAATCCCCATGATAGATAGCGTAGACCTAGACCTACCTAAGCAATGAAGATGACGCCCAGAAATATGTGTTACGTATGATAAACAAGATGCACAAAATCGGTTACTCGCGTTACATGTTCATAACGTGAGTAACCGATTCTATGCATCTTGTTTATCATACATAACACATTTTTCTGGATGTCATCTTTGGTGCTTAGGTAGGTCTAGGTCTACGCTATCTACCATGGGGATTACAGTTATTAAACTTTTTAGTAAGGTAATTACAGCCCAAGGAAACTCAAAAGTACATCAAAAATGTAACGTGAGTAACAATGGAATTGCCCAAAACCATTTTGTGCAGACCCTAATTCACGGTCCACCTCCAAATTGGGGTTTGACACGCGGACTACACCTAAATCCAACCTAGGACATGGTAGGGCGGAGAGTGGTTGATTTTAGCTGCTTTGCGCCGAAATGGCAGCTTCGAGCTGTAGACTCCCAGGGAGATGGTATTACCAGACGTCTGGTGGATAGCTCCGAGATGAGCTATAGATACAAAGATCCCTGGTTCGAATCCACGTCGTCGCTGCTCATTTTCATTGCCAGACTATTTTTCTTCTCTGAATTTGTCGTAGAGATAATTATATTTTGAGGGGAGGGGGAGAGAACCAGAACCTAAGTGTCTTGCGACGATTCACCAAAGCAAAACTGAATTATGCATGATATTCTTTTGAGTAACCCACCTACGAAAAAAAAAAGTCGAACGCTGCGCTCATGCTCACAGAACTTTAATGTTGCATTTACCAACATAGTTGTACACTTGCTTCCAAAAAAAGGAAATGTGTGATGTAGACATTATGCCACAAGGCAGAGCCAGAGGGCAATGACTTTGCATTGCTAGGATCAGCATGAGTAAATCTTATGTGAATTATTTATCGTTGCTAGATTATTATAACAAATAGTAGCCGCTGAGACACCTGCAACCATAATCATCTATAAACCGTTCCAGCTTGGTGGAAATCGCCTTACTTGAAAAACTTCCTTTTTTTAAGGACAATGCTTAAGGATCAGTCATGGATCGTTAATTGACATGCATCAAGTCGCGGAACTGGTTGTTTAAATTTTCGAAAAGATTGAAAATCATGTTTCAGATTGTGATTAATAATTTATTTTTGCACTTCTAGGACGAGCTGCACTATTGAAATCAATGTCTATGATTGAGTTTAATAAAAGGAAAAAGTCCCAGAAATTAGAGCACATTGTGAGTGTTATTATTACGTCTATTTTTTGAGACGCAATTGGCCTTTTGAGATGTGGCAGACACAAAACGGAGCTCACTTTGGAGTCGAGTAGGTGACAATAAGGTCAGGCAGGCCCACTCTAAATTGCGCCCTCCTTTTATACTTTGGCTACCATTAATTTTCTTTAAAAAAACAAAATCATAGCATGTTGCCATAAACCATATATATTTTTATTCTATATCTATGCTGGTGACCAAGCCGGGCACGCAATGTTCTTTCATGGGACACAATAGATGTTAGACAATAGATGGCGCTATTCCATTTCCGCGGGACGTGCAGCGCACCAAGCCTCATTGAAAATAGTGTAGAATCAACAAAGTTCAGGGCAAAATAATGTGCAAGCCGACATCACTGGTGTTTCCCAAACAAAAATTAAATTAGAGTCTTGTCCTTCATTTTTCCATTTATTTTCAAATTTGGGTAGACTATAGCTAATTACATTATTTTTTTTAATATTCACTCCAAAACAAAATCACCCCCCGAAAATTAAGTGATAGTTCCCGGCCAAGCATCAGAGTGCATGTAGCCATTTTAAGTGGCATCCCTCCACTTTCTTAGGCAAATAGGACCCATTTTCAACCGTAATTCTATCAAGCCTGCCCTCAGATGGAAGCCCCAAAAGCAGGGAGTTGATCCTTGGGTATATTTACACAATTCCACCGTTTTTAAAGCCAAATTTCGACTCCCTTTTCAAAAGAAGTTGTAACGGCACTCGCATATAAATTCTCACTGTGGCTAAGATATACAGGCATTCGCGAAAAAAACCCTCAGTTTTCGTGAAAAAAAATAAACAGAAAACGTGACAAAATGAACAATTTAGCTTACACCATGGAGTCCCCCCGTAGCTATACGCCTCTGTTTATTACTATGATTGGTCATTGATGGTGTATCACCGAATTTTATAGGGCAATTTTCGCAAGATAAGTGTTCATGATCTGCATGCAGCTATACAGGGTGATCACACACAAAAACGACACCTGAATGTCGGGACTATTGTTTTAGTGAAGTTCTGCATGTAGCGCTTTCCAACACACATCCAGGCGATTTGTTTCTGTTTTGCTGAAAGGACACTTACTTTTGTGTGATCGCCGGCGTTGACACTGAGACGGTGGTTGTGTTTAAAATTCCTTGAAATTCCTTGAAAACTTGAAAAGAACATGAGTGATTTGAATGATTCTTGTACTAAAAGAAAGCTTATGAATAGGGCTAGCTTTCACATCCTAGATTTTGAAAATCCAGAACTTCAATAAAACAATGGTCCCAACCATGGGCGTCGCCAGGTTATTTCTTGAGGGGGGCCAAACTTCCCCCCTCCCCCGCAAAAAAATCCTGTATTTCTTATCATATTCTCGATTTATCAGTTTTCTACCCCCCCCCCCAACCCATTCTATTCTTTTTGTTTATCTCTTTTTTTTGTTCCCTTTTTTTTGTGTTGCTTTTCCGGGGGGAAGCGCCCCCCCCCCCCCCCCCTGTCGCGACGCCCATATGGTCCCAAGCATTGGGGTTTCGGGTTTTTTTTACTCACCCTGTATGAGCTAGTCAAATATATAGGCCATAATTATACAGATTCATTTAAAAAGGTCTAACGTCTAAAAAATAACACAAGGAGGGGATACGAGTTGCTACGGAGCTTTTAAAGGGACATAGATGAAAAAAAAAAATTGAAAACATCTTCGTTAGAAAGAAAAAAATCTGCGTTCGAACGAAAAAAAATCTGCGTTCGAACGAAAAAAATCTGCGTTCGAACGAAAAAAATCTGCGTTCGAACGAAAAAAATCTGCGTTCGAACGAAAAAAATCTGCGTTCGAACGAAAAAAATCTGCGTTCGAACGAAAAAAAATCTGCGTTCGAACGAAAAAAATCTGCGTTCGAACGAAAAAAATCTGCGTTCGAACGAAAAAAAATCTGCGTTCGAACGAAAAAAATCTGCGTTCGAACGAAAAAAATCTGCGTTCGAACGAAAAAAATCTGCGTTCGAACGAAAAAAATCTGCGTTCGAACGAAAAAAAATCTGCGTTCGAACGAAAAAAATCTTCGTTCGAACGAAAAAAATCTGCGTTCGAACGAAAAAAAATCTGCGTTCGAACGAAAAAAATCTGCGTTCGAACGAAAAAGCTGTTTGCTGTTTGCTGTTTGTCCTCCCTGTGCTGCCCCACCACTTATGTGGGTGATTTTTGTGCGTCAAAACATTCTTTGCCCTGAAAACTGTTGTACCAAACATGTAAAACGTATCAATCATGATGTGACTCATATCATGCTCTTGTAAGTGCAACAGTTTCTCCACATTTAACTGGTTATCCATGGGCCACCAAAAAACATGTCGGGCTAGCCATGGCTATCAGAATAGCCCGACATGTTTGTCGATTGCTATGAGTATGAGTAGAAATCAGCTAATTAGTGAATCCCGTATCTGAAAGTTAGGAAGCAGAAAGTACATGTACATGTACAAGTGTTAGACTAGTAAAATAGGATTATTGAAAGCCAGAAATGATCATATCAACAATATATACATGTCAGTCGCTTCTAAAGTTTGGAACTATTACAAGGATTAGGAATGAAAATTTATACTGTAAAGGATTTGTGGATAGACAAATTTCTGAAAATCACAATGACGACCAGTTATATTTTTTTAACTGAAAAATTTGAAAGATAATTATATAGCCTTTTTTAATTATTTTTTAAAAACTTGCCTCACTTTATAAAAAGAAACCAAAAAGGCAAATTACTTTTAAAAATGTCTCATAAGTGTGTTGCCTCAGGGGGGGGGGGGGGGTGTGTTGTAGCTAGTATTGTAACAGGATAGGAACTCTTAAAAAAAGGACAATTAGCTAGATCTTCATTGCAATGGTTAAACTTCATGACCAACTAACAGCAAGCCCTAGTAAGACCGTTTGAAAGCTCATAGACTGCTTTAAGACCAGTTATTGAAATTCCTGTACTTGGGCCACGGACCTACATTGGGCACATATGTCATGCATGTAGGACCTGAAAAAACATGACCAAATCACCCACATAAGTGGTGGGGCAGCACAGGGAGGGCAAACAGCTTACAGCAAACAGCAAACAGCTTTTTCGTTCGAACGCAGATTTTTTTCGTTCGAACGCAGATTTTTTTTCGTTCGAACGCAGATTTTTTTCGTTCGAACGCAGATTTTTTTTCGTTCGAACGCAGATTTTTTTCGTTCGAACGCAGATTTTTTTCGTTCGAACGCAGATTTTTTTCGTTCGAACGCAGATTTTTTTTCGTTCGAACGCAGATTGTTTTCGTTCGAACGCAGATTTTTTTCGTTCGAACGCAGATTTTTTTCGTTCGAACGCAGATTTTTTTCGTTCGAACGCAGATTTTTTTCGTTCGAACGCAGATTTTTTTCGTTCGAACGCAGATTTTTTTCGTTCGAACGCAGATTTTTTTCGTTCGAACGCAGATTTTTTTCGTTCGAACGCAGATTTTTTTCGTTCGAACGCAGATTTTTTTCGTTCGAACGCAGATTTTTTTCATTCTTACGATGATTTTTTCAATTTTTTTTTCCACCTATGTCCCTTTAAAAGCTCCGTAAGTTGCCGCGTTCTTGTTTTAGTCCAATTAGTTCCCTGACGATTTGCCCGTCATCATCGCCATAGGCCTATTGCCCATGGCCAGACCTAGCGGAGACTAGCCTAAAGCTCGGAACATCGCCCTCACATATTATTTATTGCTTTAAATTTTGGACTGCCAAGCTGAGTAGATGAAATTCGAAGAATCTGTGTAATTTTTCCGCACCCCGACCCCTCTCCGTTAACTGCACTGATGGTGGTTGGTTATTCATGAATGACCCGGGTTTTTTTTATCAAACGTCGGCTTTGTTTTCGTTTAGGCTATATATGATTGGAGGCCTTTAATTGGAGCGGCTCCAGCTTAAATAATACTGATCGATGTTCTGCTCCAGAAACATCAAATAAGAGTATGATAACGACGTTTTTATGTGGTCAGGTCAGAAAAGCTTTTTAAATGACTCTGGAACTAGAAATGCATATGGAGCATAAGCTGGTATGAGGCCTGGGTTTAAACATACCTAGTATATTTGGTACCCAGACGCACATTATTATTTGTTGGAGCAAAGATGGAATTGGCACCACGCTGAAGGTGACATTGTACACCGGGCGTACACGCAGGTTGTGGGCAGTGTTTTTTTTTGCTGGAAATTGCGACCACAAAAGCTGGTAGATTTTGCGCATTAATCAAACAATGTTCTCCATTGTAGCTCTGCAGTCTGTTCTACCACTTGAAAAAGAAAAGGTAAGTTGAAACTCTGGCTTGAAATGTGTTTTCTTAGGGTCGTTGGAACTTGGAATCGGAGGAGCGCTCAGAAATCTAGGCTGGGGTCACACGCCGGACTTGTAGTAACTAGTATGTTCAAATGAATTGTCCGCCTCAACACAACACTGTATCATGCACGGCTGCCGGGGAGCTCCGGAGAAGAGCGCAATTAAAACTCGGGTCTTTGGGACCTTGAAAATGTCGTTGTTGAAAAGCTTTAACTTTTTGTGTAATGACCTGTCAGCCATCAGAAAGCGATAATAATATGTCCTAAAAAGTCAAATTTAGCAGGGAAAATATTGAAGCACACCTTTCAATACTGAGAAAACTTAGGAGAATTATTCAGACCATTCTCATACTAATTTGCTTGACTCTCCATGTATTTATACTACTACTACTACTACTACTAGTACTAGTAGACTTTGTACACAACCGCTGAAGTGGCGTCAGGTTGCAACATTTTTTTCACACAGGGTGTGAATTGAATAGTGATGTTAAGATATGGAATTCTTTCCTATTTTACAAATATATTTTCAATGTATGTATTGTCTTTTTGTAAAAAAAATGTTGCAACCTGACGCCACTTGTTTCTTCATACGCCCTATCATCTCAATCATTGTCAATGAAGGTCAGTCATTGCCAAGATGATATGGATATTAAGACATGAATCTGGGACTGAGAAACATTTCCAGTTTTGTTTGGAAATACTTTACAAATTTGCTCGACTCGACATGTTTTACTAGACTTTGTACACAACCGCTGAAGTGGCGTCGGGTTGCAACATTTTTTCCGTCTGTTTTATTTGTTTCAAAACAAACTGGGAAAGAATGTTGCATCCTGAAGCTACTTTTTTTGGATAAAATGTTGCAACCTGTTGCAAAAAATGTGAAAAAGACATGAATCTTGGACTGAGAAACGTTTCCAATTTTGTTAGGAAATACTTAGAAAATGTTCTTGACTCTCCATAGTCTTTGTACACAACCGCTGAAGTGGATACTACATTTTTTCCCTTTTGTTCTTCATGTATTAATTATTTGTTATCTCAATGAAGGTCTGTCATTGCAAAAATGTTGAAAAGACATGAATTTGGGACCGCATTTCCAGTTTTGTTTGGAAATACTTTGAAAATGCACTCAATCATAAACTTTGCACATAACCACAGACATGACAGAAGTGGCGTCAGGATAGCCTTCACTTTCTTTCCTAAAATTGTTGCTACATGTAGGTCATATGTGAAGGCTTATACATCATTTTTTTACGGCTTCTTTGGACACAATTTGTTATCAGCAAAAGAGTTCGAGAAAATGGAAAAATCCACAATGTCTTAAAAAATCTGCCATGCATCTTAGGGAAAGAATGGGAGGGGGCTGCCTCAATCATTTTTAAAAAAAATGCAGACATTTTTTTTTTTAAACTCGGCTTACACTGTACCTACAGCCTGCACACAACTGCATAAATTTGAAGCTAAATTAGTATTACCGGCAATCGTGTAGTTAAGGACCCCGTTCCATGTAAGCGGATGAAAAGAATCCTCTATGATTTGGGACTTAATACCTAAACATTTGGCAATGATACAAGGAAGAAGTTGTCACTTTACATGGACATATACATGGAATCATCTAAATAGGTCGCTAAGATACGGTACCATGCTGAATATCAGCTAGCTTAAAATATTGTGGAAAGCTGCAGGGTTTCCATTAACCCTTACCCTACTAGACCCTCCAACGCATGCCAATATGTGCCTCAAGAAAATCTCCTATGTTTTTTGCATGGCCCTCCAATATCTGCCATGTCATTTCAAGGGTAACTGGACATGCTGGACAGGCACTCCAATACATGCCACAGAGAACAATGAGAGTCCTCTGATAACAAAGTGAGTGCCCCCAGCTGGTCAGTATCAGGCACCCTCCAGGGCCTCCAACTCCTGCCAATTGGAGCCTTCACTGTTAAGACAAACTATCTGCCAATAAACTGCAGCTGGAGGGCATTGGCATAACCAACTGACATGCAGTAAACTACCCTCAGAGAGTAAGGGTTAATTAACCTGAAGTTGTAAGGAAACAGTGAGGTGTTCTAAACTAAATGACTACAGAATCTGTACATGCTGTATATCGTAATTAAACCTACATGTACATGTATCTCTTTTTACTGGACCAAGTCCGCCAAAATCATTTGCTTTAGGCTAAAAAAAAATAATAAGTCGGTCTCTGGTCAGCGCGCGCGTCGATCTTTTTTTTTTTACAAAATGCTCCGCGGTAGCTCCAACAGCGCACTCTATTTCCGCACCTCAATTTTATTTTTACCAAAGAGCACCAAGGAATGGGAAATTGCACCAAGGCAAATGATCGAAAGCACCAAGGCAAATTATGGAGGACACCAATGTACATGAGGACACCAAAAAAGCAAAAAAGTTCCCCACCTTGTCTGTACAATCCAAGCTTGAAGAAAAAAAAAAAAAAGCGAAAAAAAAAGCTGCGTGGCCGTGTCAATTCCGGAACTTTGGTCTGACCAGAGACCGAATATTTTTTTTTTTTTGGCCTTACATGTAGGTCTCAGGCCCAAGTCCATCATACTCCATCAATTGATATTTACATGTAGTCAAAGCAGGCATGCAGGACCAAGTCCCCCAAACTCAACCAAAATGGATTTTGATGGAGTTGGGGAGGTAATGTTTAAAGTACTTGACAAAATGTATGTAGTATTTAGAGCAACAGTTGGTGTAAAATTCCAGTGTTGTACATGTAGTCGAGACCCTGCAAGACCATCGCAAGACCATCACAAGACCTTCAGGCTCAATTCAAGTCACAAGCTATGCAAATGAACAACAACAAAGGCATTCCTATGTCACTGTTAAGTCAGTTGCTGATCCAGGGGGTGCAGAGAGATGTCCCTCCTCCCTCCCCGCCCCCTTTCAGTGACCAAAATTATTGTGAACTAAGGTAATTTTCCACTTGAGAGAGCCCCTCTGCTCCCTCTCCCATGTAGATGTACATGCATCTATCCATAGATAAATCTATCTAAGTTTATTCCAGCCTTACTCCTGTCGTTTACTTTCCCAACACCAGTTCATTTGAGAAAATCAGTCACCAGCATGGCGATGGGGAAACCGACAGATGCGGCAGCGAAGAGCGCCCTCTATGTGTCCGCACCAGGGAAGGTGATACTCCACGGAGAGCACGCCGTCGTCTACGGTAAGACGGCACTGGCGTCGAGTCTGAACCTACGGACATTCCTGAAGCTGAGGCGAGTCGTCAATGGGGCCTCCGCCTCCTTCAACCTACCGGACATCGGTCTGGAGCGGACTTGGAGCACTGAAGACCTCGCCAAGACCTTTTCAGATCATCTGCGAGGGAGAGCACCTCTGGATGCCAGTCCACCCACTGCTGCACTGTTCAGTAAGATGAAGGAGTTTGCGAGCATCTCTGAAGACGGGAGCACCCGGGATCTTGCAGTGCTGGCAGTCTTGTACCTGTACTTATCCATCTTTGGCACGGGTCCCCCGTCCCCTCTTCCTTCTGTCGAGGTTCAGGTGACCTCTGAGCTCCCGACCGGAGCAGGATTGGGATCCTCTGCTGCCTTCTCTGTGTGTCTGTCAGCGGCTTTCTTACTCCAAGGAGGAATGGTTGCGTCTCTGGATGAAAACGGATCCGGGTCGCCTTTATGGAATAAAGACGATTTGGACCTCATCAATCGTTGGGCGTTTGAAGCCGAACGGATAATCCACGGTAATCCGTCTGGGATCGACAATGCCGTCAGCACCTACGGTGGCGCTCTTCGTTACCAAGGCAAGGTCATCCATCCCCTATCCAAAGTCCCCCTCCTACGCATCCTGCTGATTAACACGAAGGTACCGCGCAGTACCAAAACTCTGGTTGCCGGTGTGCGCGACAAATACGAGAAGTTCCCAGCAGTCATTGGACCGGTGCTGGACTCGATCGAGGGGATTTCTCAAATGTGCCAGTCCCTTTTTGAAAAATTTGCCCTGCCAAATGAAAAAGAGGCGGGCACAGCAGAAGTAAGCAACCAACCAGATCCTCCACAGCTGTCAGGTGATCAGGCCGCTCCAATTGGAGAAGGGACTGGGGTCGCAGCAGACCAATCGTCCGCCTTGTACCCTCAACTGGAAGAGTTGATTGATATGAATCAGAAGTTTCTGGAGATCATCGGGGTTTCGCATCCCTCCCTGGAGCGCCTTTGCTCCCTGACGTCCAAGTACGGCCTCCACTCCAAGCTTACAGGTGCGGGAGGGGGCGGGTGTGCCCTGACCCTGCTGAGGCCAGACACGGAGACGGACACGGTGAGGCGTGTCAGAGAGGAGGTGGCAGCAGTGGGATACGACATGTGGGAGACCAGCATCGGTGGAGTTGGTGTGGCTGTGCATTCCGATTTGGAGCAAGCCAAGGATATGGGATTTAATGTGCCTGAGATATTTCTTAAGGAATAGAAGGCACAAAAACGTAGACCAGGGCCCAATTTCACGGCGCTGCTAAGCACAAACATTTGTAGAAAAGCAGGTTATCAGCCAAAACTCCATGTGTTTTAATGCTAAGCAAACAACAGGTGAATACTAATCACGAGCAATATAAACGTCACGTGGAGTTTTGGCTGGTAACCTGCTTTTATAAGCCAGACTTTTTTTGTGCTAAGCAAATTTTGTGCTTAGCAGCACCGTGAAATTGGCCCCAGAACTGTGCTTGTATATTTCAGCTTGAATATGGACTGCTAAAAACTGGCACACTTGCGCACAAAATCTATGAGTTATTGTATAAACATGTATGTTGGGTGAATCCACAAACCTACATGTACATGTATGGTGAAAAATTGGGGAAAAAACACAGGAAGTCCTCGGCCAAAATGTAATGTGTTCATTTAGAAACAAACAGTTCTCAGCTGTTTCATGTGAGTGTAGTATGCACTACCAGTGCAAATTTTGAATTTAACCCTAATTCCCTAGGCCTTTTTGCTAGGATGTAACCTCA